AAGAATTGTAACCATTTTGCTTTGATAGAGAAAAAACTGACTACGTTCAAATAGATGAACTACAAAATAAATGGCTGTAAAGGAAAACTATTTTCCATGTATTATTGAATTAAGTTAGACTGTAATACAAGACAATTAACTTAATTAGATTATATTATCAAAACTCTTATTTATGTCTTTTTTTTAGTAATATTCGGCTAATAATTAATAGTACGATCCAGAACTTGAGTTTCATCTTTTTGAGACTTAACTCAAGATGGATGAATGTACATGCATCGTAGTGTTGAAACTCATATTGATATTTCAATCCGGTACTTGCCATTTTAAACCTAAATGTATCATCTACTAGGCTACTGAGTTTAAATCGCCAATAAATCATGTAACAAATATACAGTTATAGTTTTTAATATTAACTCTTAAAACTGTCATTCACATGATTTCGATTTTTCTGGTGGCAACTATTATGGAAAATAGAACAGTTACATAACATTGAACTAAAAGATTACAGAAATAACATGATTTATTAATCTCTAATTTAAATTTTTATCCATTTGTTCTTCGTGAAACAAAAGAATGTAGATTGAAACGACCAAAATAGAATTGTTTGACTATCAATAGTAAAACATTTTAGAGGACTGAAATAATCTTTGTATGTAAGTAATCACACTGTAGTATGTGCTACTTATGTTGACATAAGTAGTATATGATGTTGGTCGTGATCAGAATGTCTGGCAACAGAGAGGATCGAACAGTAAAGAATGGAAACAGGATGAAATTTGTATGAAAATGCAAGAACAATGAAGTCTGAGTCATTTTGAGATAATTGGTGGATATTTTGCAAATTAAGCATTGTTATATTTTCTTAACAAGTCCTGTAATTCTGTGTCAAATACATTCGATTTTCCCCACTGGTGTTCTGTTGACTAGCTAATTGGAGTTTTTTTCTTTTTTTTGTAGGGTGTTCAGATGATTACTAAATTCGAAATGTTATTACCATGGACAAACTTTACTGAGTATTCAACAACTTTTAGTTAACTAAATACAAATAATAAACGTTACGATAACTGTGTCGATAAATAAATCAATAAATATGGTTGGCTAGATTATTCAACTTTGTGGTTACCCATTCTTTTTCCCAACACCCAAGAGATTAGGTTATAGAAATGAGTACATTAATTCTAGTAGCGAACTAACTGAAAGCGAGCGACGGAGACAGATAGAGGTAAACGTAATTGAAAACTTCATTGTAGTTCAACCACTGTAAAATGAATAACAGTATTTAAAAAAACACAAAAGCAAAGAAGATGAGAATGAGTTTTTAAAGGTGTTACTGTTCTCTTTTTAATTCCCAGTATATTGAAATTTATATAAAAATGCTCATGTAAATGGAAACATTTTGAATTTTTGTAAAGTACTTCATATGAGTAGTAAAACAATATTTTATGGTAACAATTCAAAATGTAGTCTGTCATGTTAATGTTATGAAAATATATATGCATAACTATCTACCTAGCGCACGTTCGAATATGCCGTGCATGTTATTTTTGCATTCTACCGATATCATCATCTGTGAGCCCAATTAGGACGAAACGCTCATCCTGGATTCCATTGCTAGACACCATCCATCTCTACTTATAATGCTTATGATTTAAGACAATAACGTGGCAATCTGTACAGGATGTACATATGCCAATACGAGACTGATCAATCAGTCTTAAATAACAATAGGAAGATTAAAACAAACAATACAAAATGGATTTAAATAATAAAAATTCTTATGAACACTTATGTGATCTTCCAGTATTTTGATTAAAAATTTTAAAATATCAGAATCAGGTTGAACTATAACTCATGTAATAAATGGAGTAACGGAATCTTTGGGTTTATATTGAATGAAATGGGCAAGACCGCATTAAAATGATATGACCAAATTTGTTATTTGCTCATTAAATCGAATTTCAAATCCTAACTTAATATATTATGTAATATGTCAGAAAACGGAATCTTTCGTCAATTAATCGAATTTGAGAAAGAAGAGATATATATATTAGGACAGGGCGGCGTGCTTGAGCATCTGGGCTACCTGTTCCTGCCATCTAGATATTTCAACATGTTATCTATTTTTGTTTGCTCTAATATATCATTGTCTATTTATCGCATAACCTATTATGCTGCGTTTCTGAAAAGTGTACAACCTTTTGTTGTCAAAGTTACAAAAAAGCTCAATAAAAGACAATATACTTGCTGGCAATATACAACGAAAAGAATGCACATTATTCAGATGTTCATTTAGTGAACTGCTAACATCTAACTGGCGATCACTCAATATTTATCGCCAGGACCTACCAAGAAGAAGGAAACGGGAACTTGTTGAAATACTTTGTGCTGAGAATTCTATATTGTACCAAAAATATAATATTGAGTAAAGCTAATAATAATAATAATAATAATAATAATAATAATTGAGAAATTGCAATGGTCATAATTTTCAATGACTCAAATAGTTGACACAAACAGTAATTAATATAAATATAGGAATTTCATGGAGATTATTTAATCTTATTGGTTGCATTACTGATTAAGCTTGTTTAGATAATTGATAAAATCTAAGAAACATTCAGTAGCTATTTTGTATTAGTATAGGACTGGTCAGTAGTACTCTTTCATGATGCTAACATAATGGATTAAGTACAGAATATTCCAATCTAATGGCAAATGGTTAACCTACAGTCTACTGATTTAACATCAACTGTTTATATTTTTCATAATAATCAATTCATAGTATTATCTAGTCATCTTCCAGTGTTATGGATCAATAACTGTCTCATACTAGAAATGGTTGAAGCCTACTGGAACAAGACAAGTATTAAGTGTTCTTTTAAAAAAATATATTTTCAATGGTTGTTTAACTAAGCTAAGTACGTAATACAAACTAATTAATTTGATTAACTACATATAACAATAACAGAAAAATCAAATGAATGTATTCTTCCCCCCTTAATATTTAATTAAAACAAGCAATTTTCCTAATGAAGACCAATAATAAAGTTGATAAAATGATCTGAAAATATAGTCAGTCAGTCAGCTACAACGTAGGACTAGGTACATATATCCATCGGTCCAAGTTGCCACACCACATTAGCACAACAAGATGAACACCTAATTCATAGAAATAGTTACTTCAATGGTAGTAATATATAAAAGAAGGATTGTGCATAATGATATAGTACAGGAAGAAGGAATTAGTTCGTGAAAAGAAAGATATAAAGCAATTTTAATCTTATCGTTTAAGGGCAGATAAAGAATGTATACACCTACACCATTGTGATCGATTCTGAGCCATGTCACACAGAGTCTCCAACCATTGGTCATAATAGTCACGCGGACCTCAACCATATAGTCTGCATCTACCAAAAATGGCTCAGATTAGAAGTTAGTGTCTTCAAGGACTGATGCCACGTTTTAGTTTGGCCGGCCCTAACTTTCTTACAACCATCTCCAACATTAGTCAGCATTGCGCGTCGTGGTAATCGGTGTTCAGATATATGTAACACGTGGCCCAACCATCTCAGTCGATGAAGATTCACAACCTCATCAACTGATTTACGATCATTCCCTAATACCCTACATCTAACCTCTACATACATAGAGAAGAATATTAAAAATTACTAGAAATCTTTCCTATAATGTGTTATTCATGAATTAACAGTAATGCAGTCAAAATTTTCATAAATAACTTAATATTCAGTGTTATTGTAGTAGCTTTATAGTTGTATCGAAGTATTAACTCTGTTCCATTATATTACATGTATGACATGTAAAAATGAATTAGACTTAATCAACAAATTTTTATCAGAATGGGTTTTATGGAGATTTTAGAAATTTCACTGGCTGAAATCATGAGTCAATTGAAGCAAGACCACCATGGAACAACCTGGAAGCACTAGACGGCACTGTTGAGGAGTTCCATACTAGGATGAAACGGCCATCCAGTGCTTCCAGGTTTTCCATAATGATCTAGCTTCAATTGACATATATATATATATATATATATATATATATATATTACTGACCTGGTCAAATATTTAGGTCATGTACTTTTCAACTGTACATAGATTATAGTAAACTTTAATATTTTACATATGATTTGAACTGAACACTTTATAAATGTTAATTATGTGTACTTACAGGTTTGTTACCATGTAAAATAGTGAAAAACTCTAAATGAATACACTACACTATATGTATTTTTTAAAACAATAAATAACTAAAATATATTAGAAATGATAGATTTTATCATGTAAATGTTAAATAGAAACAAATAGTTATAATAGTTGAATTATTAGGAAACTATTCTGATTGAAAATGATTAGTAGATATTATTGACTACTGAAAAGTTTTTTCCTAAAAATAGGAATACTTAGTTGAAGCGGGTTTTTTGTGTGAATATTATAGTAATTTCAAACAGTTGTGATCATGAGTCAATTAAAGCTAGATCACCATGGAAAACCTGAAAGCAATGGACGACCGTTTCCTCCCAGTATGGGATTCCCCATTAACAGTGTGGATCCACGATCATCCTACCTTACGAGATTCGAACCCAGAATCTATTGTTCTTGCACATGAGTGCTTAACCACTAGATCATTGAACTGGCTGGCATCCAATGATGTTAATGTCTAACTTTAACTAATACATATTTAACAAAAATCGATTTTATTATAGTATAATTGGTGTGAAGAATAATAGATTGATATTCTTAAAGGATGAATTATATAACGAAATGAAACAAGACTCGATAAGTGGATCGAAATGAAATAGTACGTGTTTTTCATTTTGAAATTCTAAACAAAAAATGTCTTATAGAAAGAGAATTAAGTATTTTGATTAGGTCAGTCTTTAGTTTTACTTCAGTAAAGTTTAATGCTCGTCTCACTAAATCGAAAACATCGTTGGAATTTAGTTTTACTCCAGTTTATATATATAACGTGAAACAACTTACTGACTAATAGTTTTCCCCCACCAATTTTCTTTATGATGTAATATATCTGATTTTTTTGTAATAGTATTTAATCTTATTCCATCATTATCTTTATGATATATTGATGTTATTGAATAATTTATTGGAGGTTCCATACATGATTTCATTTGATGTACACGCCAATTTCTACGTCTTTCATATAAACTATTTCCAATTGATTTTGAATTTATATTTGTAGATATAGTTGTCATAGTATTTATAATTGTAGTTGTAATATGAGTAGTATTTTCATTAGTAGTATTAACAGTTTCTAACATATTTATTTTTTGTTTTTCACTGTTTAATTCAACATTCATTATGATTATGATAAATATAAATGAATAATAATAAATATAGTTATAATATATATATATGGTGTTCACTACAATGAATTCACCTTAATATCCATTCTATTTAATTAATCCACTTTTTGTTTTGTTCTTTTAATATTTATATCTTGTTTATCATAAACATAATCCCAACTTATTCTTTAAAAAAACATATATATATATATATATATATATATATATATATATATATATATATATATACAAGGAGAACATTAAGCTAATTTGAATTGTGTATATTTACATAAACAAGTGTGTGTATGTGTGTATGTGTGTATATGTATGTGTGTACATGTTTCCATGTGTATATATGTGGCCATGTATGTAATTTGTGTAAATGAATGTGAGATTATTTTTTATATATTTATATATATTCACTTCATTTTACTGATTAAAAGAAAATAAAATAAAATATTGATCACAATTGATCGATTTTTTTAAAATATATAAATTTAATAATTGAATTTGAAATTGATCTGTGTTTAATATAGTGCACAGAGCACATTTCAAAAATCGCCATTATATATATATGGCGAGTGCGTGTGTATGTGTGTGTGTGCGTGCGTGCGCGCGAGAGGGAGATTAAATGATCAATTCATATATTAGTATTTAATTATTCAATTTACAGTTATTTGATATATGCTCAAATTCTTATTGGATAATAATGATTGGTCAATTTTATTATTGTTGTTAATTCTCATTTGATTGGTTAAAATTATTTGAATGAATGAACAAATAGGTAAATCAGTAAATGAGTAAACAAAAAATAAATATTTCTATTTTTTAAATTGTAGGATTTATATTATGCAAAATGTATTATTATTATTATTGCACTAGTTGATAAGTCTTGCGGATTGAACGCTATATTCGTCTCTTAAGCTATTCTGTAATCTCCCAAAGCTAGAACTATACAGCGACCTGAACACGAGAGAGAAGACTTAAGGTATGCGAGAAGTAGTTTACTCCAAGGTTCATTTTAATACAGAGAATACAGGGTTTTTATAATATTTTAAATGTCCTTAGGTTGCTAGAAGATTCTGGAATGCTAATAAACATAGTAGTAGTGTAGCAGCTAACCAATCTGAGTCTCTGAATGTGACGTTTCGCTCCCTTGATATTTCTGGCTAAGACTTCAAGTGGACGCTGAGGCTTGCTTGTCTTTTGCAAGCAATTTTCTAGATCGCCCCAACACTAGTGGCCATCTGGACTCAGTAGCTGAGTGGATAATGTGGTGGAATTTGAAGCCGACAGTACTGGGTTCGAGTCCTAGAGTGAACATCAACTTTGAGATGCAGGTACATCTAGCTGACGAGTCCCGAATTGGACAAAACACGTATCCTAGATCTTACTACTAGACACTATCCATTTCTACTTATAATGCTTGTGACTTAAGGCAATAACAAGACAATACATATAGTATGCATATATGCCTATAAGAGACTGATCCATTGCAGTTTTAAAAATTAATGGAAAGATTCAGACAAACAATACCAAGTGAATTTATTAATATTATTATTATTATTGATCACGTAATAATTACATAATGACGTAATGGTAAAAATTTTTTTGAACCAATGAAAAAGATAATAGATATTATTAATTATTTCATTCTTTGTTATCCCTGTTACTCCTAATGGAACATAGGTTGTCGATCAGCATTCTCCAACTCACTCTGTACTGGGATTTCCTTTTTTATCCAATTGTTGTTCATACTGGATGAAATGAACTATATAAATTACATATTTGTACATAAAGTTTTTTTATTATTATTTATTTATGTGGATTTCTACATCAGACAATTACTTAACCAGAGAATTAGATGGTCAAACAATATTGTGAATCGATTAAAGTTAGCCGTGTAAACTAGTTAATAACAACTCATCGATATAAAAGCTAATCATTCGATATGAAAATTGTAGGCCGTGAGTTCTATCTTGTAACAAAGGCTTTTATATAATATTTGTTACTAAAAAATACGAAGAAGATTCAATTACAACTTCATTTGATGTTGTTTACTTGTATTTTCCCATTATTATTTACGACTGCAATTGATTAGTCTCTTGTTGACATATGTGCATCCTGTGTGAACTGCCTATATATTGCCTTAGATCATAAGCTTTATAAGTAAAGATATATAGTGGCTAGCAGTGGAATTCAGGACACACGTTTTCGTCCTATTTGGGACTTGTCAGCTAGATTTACTTGCATCTCAGAGTTGATGTTCACTCCGCAATTCAAACACAGTATTGTTCACTTCCAATGCCATCACGTTATCCACTTAGCTACTGAGTCTTAATTCAATTATATCCAAATGCATTCAATTATAACTTGACTAAATTCAATGTTTATTATTTACAGAACTTTTCAAACGAAATAATTGTTACTTAGATGTCAAACTACAAAGAATTGATACCATTGAATATGATGAATTAATGAATACAAATTAATGTTGTGTTCAATAAAAACAATCACATTGAATTAATTCAAAGTCACTTAATTTCTGCATACTAAATTTCATTTAAATACTTGACATCTTCAACAGAACGTAATACTTCTGGTTTGAATCTTTTTCTTCTTCTTCTTCTTCTTCTTCTTCTTCTTCTTCTTCTATCGTTTATAAAATGTATTGTATTATAATCTTGTTAGAGATATCATTTTTAAACTACATTTCCGACAGAAACAGTTTCATAAATAACGAATCCAAATTTTGGGTTTGATCACAGGATTCGCTATGTAGACGACACCTTCGTCATCGTCAAAAAGAATGAACTAGAAAACACTTACAACCTAATCAACAACGTCTTCGATGACATCAAGTTCACCATGGAACAGGAGTCAAACAACCAACTAGCATTCTTGGATATATTGATCACTAGAACCGACACAGGAAAACTGGAAACTCAAGTATATAGGAAACCGACCCATACGGATCAAATTCTCAGCTACAATAGCAACAACCCCAGAGCGCACAAAATCAACTGCGTACACAATTTGTTCAAGAGGGCGAGGACACACTGCAGCACACTGGCAGCACGAAGAAATGAAGAGAAATACCTAAAGGATGTATTTCAGAAGAACGGCTACCCCATCAACTTCATAAAAAAATACCAACCGCACGCAGCATTAGAACTCAAGTCAAGCACAAAAATCAACAAAAGGATCACCCTACCATATATTCAAGGAATATCAGAAACCGCGACGAGACTGCTGAAAACCTTCGGAATAGGTGTGGCACACAAACCGACAAAATCACTACAATCAATCTTATGCAAACCAAAAGATGAAATAACAAAGGAAAACAAATCAAACATCATCTACAAAATAAATTGTGCCAACTGCGAAAAACACTACATCGGACAAAGCGGACGCCCCCTTCACCTTCGCCTACATGAACATCAATTAGCAGTCAAACGGCATGATATCTCTTCACTTATATCAATACACGTGGACAACTGCGGACACTCATTCGATTGGAAAAATGTGGAAATCTTAGACAGAGGAAACTCCAAAAACACCAGAGAATTTTTAGAAGCCTGGTACTCAGGTCAATCAGCAATCGACAAGCATATTGAAATCAATCCAATTTATCAACCAATCAGAAAAATCATGCACAAACATAAGAGCAAAAATCAAAACAATGGGAGACACAACCAAAACAAAGAAGTAAACAACGACAATTTTAAGGTCAATAAGAACCAATCAACGTCGAGTTGCACAGAACAAGCTTTGAGACACATATGGAGAAATTCAAACACTTCACTTCTATCTGAAGTTTGTGCTGATGATGTCGTTCAGAAGAACGATGAAAGCTCCACGACCAAACCATCCAGCTCAGAGAACAAAACTCCACCAAAATGATTACAGAATGCAATATATTTTTGTTCAGTAGGTCCGAAATAATGGGGATAATACAAACACTTAGAATCAGATTGTTGTTGTATGAATATTTTGATTAAGTCAGAGATATTATCATCAACGTTTTTATTGTTTAATAATTACTATTTATTTGTGGAAATCGTTTCCTTTGTAACATTTTTAACGAATTGGCTTTAAATTCAGACCATCAATCGATCGATATTAGACCGCCATTAAAAATCTAGAAGCAGTGGACGGACGTTGCTTCCCAGTAGTACGCATCAACAATCCTGCAGGCGGTACCCGAACCCAGAACCTCCACTCTCGCGCTTCCAGGTTTTCAATGGTGGTCTAACATCGATCGATTTATGATCTCAATCAAAAACCTAACAATCTCCACAACCTCCATACTGAGAATCGGCTTTAAAGAGACAATCATTGAAAGATCATGGAATAAAACTGGATGTTACAGAAAGCAAACAATAACAAGACTCTCAATTAATTTAATGAGACGAGAGTTCATTTCTACATGAGACTGGATTTTGACAAGTTAGCTATTATTATTTTCAGTATCCCATTCTAGTGTATTCTGAAAATTTCTGTTATGAATTCACTCAGTGTTGACATTTTTCAGGGGTAAAAGTCATTTTTAAGCTATAATTTTTTGAATACAAATATTGAAAAGGATACTTTTCCGTGAAATATATTCTACTCAGGAGCAGACCAAACTTACATTCCAATGTCTGTTTAATAGTTGAGGAGAGAATCAAAATTTTTGGAGGGCATAGTGTTGAGTACTAATTATTAGTGTTCTCTTATTTCATTAACTATCTCGTTCACATCATCCGACAGGATACCAAAGAACTATTTATAATGCTGGACAACACTTGTTTCAGACTAGTAGAAGTACTGTTCAACGATGAACATCCAAAAATCTTCCATAGATTAAACTCAAGAACCTCAAAACACAGCCACTGGTTCACATTTTTAATTTCAGTTAATTTATGACA